TTTACCCAAAGAATACAACTTCGCAGATTCAAAAAGACATATGCACCCCTGTGTTTATCGCAGCACTATTTACAATAGCCAAGATATGGAAGCAACCTAAGTGTCCATCAGTAGATGAATGGATAAAGAAAAGGTGGTACATATACACAGTGGAATACTATTCAGGCATAAGAAAGAAACAAATCCTACCATTTGCAACAACATGGATGGAGCTAGAGGATATTATGCTCAGTGAAATAACCCAGGCAGAAAAAGACAAGTGCCAAATGATTTCCCTCATTTGTGGAGTATAACAACAAAGCGAAACTGAAGGGACAAAATAGCAGGAGACTAACAGACTCCAAGAAGGGAGTACTGGTAACCAAAGGGGAGGGGTGTGGGAGGGCAGGTGGGGAGGGAGGGAGAAGGGGATTGAGCTGTATTATGTTAGTACACGTGGTGTGGGGTTCATGGGGAAAGCAGTGTAGCACAGCGAAGGCAAACAGTGAGTCTGTGGCATCTTACTACACTGATGGACAGTGACTGCATTGGGGTATGGGTGGGGACTTGACAATATGGATAAATGTAGTAACCACATTGTTTCTTCATGTGAAGCCTTCATAAGAGTGTATATCAATAATATCTTAATAAAAAAATTTTTTTAAATAGTCAAGGTGAATAAATTGTAACAAAGTCACTCTGGAGGCCATGATATTGATGTATTTGCTAATCAGGGCCAGACTATAAAGCTGAGGAACACCATTGCTTTTAAAGTTGGCAAGTGAGCTTTTTCATGGGTCCATGTTTGTAAAAACCTTTATAATAGAAATCTGTGAAATGTTTGGTTCTTTGTCTCCCAGGGGTAGATGAACCACAGAATTTCTGGATATTCTAACCCATGAAGAGAATGTCAGATTCCAAGGTGAGTCACTAACTTTCAAACTAAAAAATTAGCTTAGATTTCTCTTCCTGTTTTTTCTTTAAACCTATAAGCAAAAGCACCTAGCTAAAGGAGTTTAATGCAAGGCTGGAGGAGCCAATAAATAACAGTGGGGTTTTATTTATTAAAATTGCTTTGAAATGGTATGATAAGAACAAAATGGTAAGGAGACCTTGGAATTGCCAAAACAATGTTAATCCTTGTTTTGAATGCAATATCTTTGAAAGAAAGAGGCTTTAATCTGCTCATCACATTGTCTTGTCTCCTCGCTTTTTTTTGTTTGAGTCCTTCCTTTAATTTCTAGAATTCTAAATAGGAGGAGCATAGTTACTCTGCATCCAAAACCAGTAAAGAGATCTGGAAACATCATGAGAAACATTAGAAGAAAACCCACTAGTTCCCTGCTGAGGTCTGTGTCCTGAACCTACACTTCAGGCCCCAACCTTTAAAAAAGCTGACTTTGCACAGGTGGAAATCTTTTGTATAAAGGCATCAATAAGTACCAACTACTCTCCTCCTGGGTGCACAGAACCTTGCCTGGCAGTATGAGGAGACATAAAAGGAATAAAGTTATGGTCCTTACACTCTGGTGACTGATGTGAATTATTCCAGGGTTACCAGGAACCCCTGACCAAGGAACTAACTGAGGGGCAGTTCCAACTCAGATAATAACTGGTGTTCACAGCTGGTCTGAGTGGATTCATCCTGGGTTCCAGGCAGCCTCAGAGAAATTGCAGGGCCATCACCTTACTCATTTCCCCAGAATGGAATAGTCTAGCAACTTTTCTGTGTAGGGGGAAAAAGCATGCATATGCACACACACAGAAACACACACACACACAGAAACACACACACACACACACACACACACACACACACACACACACACACACACACACACACAC